CGAGTAGCTGGGACTACAGGCATGTGCCACCATGCATGGCTAATTTTTTCTATATATTTTTAGTTGGCCAATTAATTTCTTTCTATTTATAGTAGAGACAGGTCTCACAATTGCTTAGGCTGGTTTTGAACTCCTGACCTTGAGCGATCCACCCACCTCGGCCTCCCAGTGTGCTAGGATTACAGGCATGAGCCACCATGCCAGGATTCTTAATTCTAAGCCCTGTTTGTTTTTTAGAGTCTCACTCTGTTGCTGGGGCTAGAATGCTGAGGCATCAGCCTAGCTCACAGCAACCTCAAACTCCTGGGCTTAAGTGATCCTCCTGCCTCAGCCTCCTAAGCAGCTGGGACTACAGACACATGCCACCGCACCCAGCTAATTTTTCTATTTTTAGTAGAGATAGGGTCTGACTCTTGTTCAGGCTGGTCCCAAACTCCTCAGCTCAAGCAATCCTCCTGCACTGGCCTCCCAGAGTGCTAGGATTACAGGTGTGAGCCACTGCGCCCAGCCCTAAGTCCTGTTCTACCTTCGGATTTTCAAGGGGAAAAGAGAGCTGTACCAGAGGAGAGATTTATCATTATTATTTACTTGGAAGGTGGGACGAATACAAAGAATAAGATAAAATTCTCAAGTCTCTTTACCACTTTGCTCCCAAAAATCCTGCATGGCAGGGCCTGTAGCAGCAGTTTCCAATTCATAAATAGTTCCTTGGAGTACCTGGAAGAAGAAGGGACACTGAAATTGGTCAAAGTTATAATACAGAATGGAGGCTCAATTCCACAGCACAGTTTTTCAGGCACTCATATCTTGCACAAAGATCTGGTAACAGCGGTCTGTAACAGAAGATTCCTTCCTGATAAAAAGGTGAGCATATCTTCCACATCTATCTACAAAAGGAATTGTAAGTGATGATTAAATTAAATTATGAAGTCCTGAATCATTCCAAGGTTTGGAGGGGCTGGCAGGTTAGCTAATCGATGGTGCATATTGACTCTCAAAAATTACAGGGGAAAAGACTGGTATTTTGAATGGAACACTTAAGTTCATAACTGATGCCAAATAGAATGAGAACTTTGCCAATTTGCCCATATCTCCCACCCCCGTAGTTCCTTTCACTGACTTGCAGGAGATGAGAGAGAACCTACCCGAGCAGACTTTGAAAGGAGGTTGAAGTGGGGCTCTTTTGAAGATGAGACCCAGAAAGTCCTTTAGGCTTTTCTTAGAACCTGTTTTTGGAGTCTGTCGCAGGGTGTGTGGAAACAGAGGCTAGTAGGATGTTTATATCATGGAGAGGATACAGAGTGCCTTAATGAGTAAGTGGTGGCAGGCTGGCGTTGGGGGAGTCGGGGTCAACTGCGTGAGTGTAAGGTTAGTTCACTTGTAAACGGGCCAACCATTGTGGGCGGCCTGCCTGGCTGGAGAGGCTAGACCAAGACGCGCCTCCCAGTTACCATGGTAACCCTCCCTCTTCCCAACCCCGCCCCCCTTTACTGGCCCAAGGTAAGGTCGGGAGTGGTTGCCTTGGGTGACTGGAAGGCTCCGCCCCTCGCTCCCAGCTGCCGCTCTCCCTCCACTGGACTGCCTTCCCGCCTGCCTGGCAGTGGGAGGGCGCGGCAGCTGAATCGTCACATCCGGGAGGGTGGGTGAGTTCCGGTATTTCAGGGCGGAGCAGGCGGAAGCAGGGGTGAGGAGCGGCTGCAACGCCGAGCGGAGGAGGCAGGAACAGGAGCGCGAGCAGGAGCAGGGTAGGCACCATGGCTGGGATCACCACCATCGAGGCGGTGAAGCGCAAGATCCAGGTTCTGCAACAGCAGGCTGATGATGCAGAGGAGAGAGCCGAGCGCCTCCAGCGGGAAGTGGAGGGAGAAAAGCGGGCCCGGAACAGGCTGAGGTAGCCTCCTTGAACCGTAGGATCCAGCTGGTTGAAGAGGAGCTGGATCGTGCTCAGGAGCGCCTGGCCACTGCCCTGCAAAAGCTGGAGGAAGCGGAAAAAGCTGCTGATGAGAGTGAGAGGTGTGTAGGGAGCCTGATAGAGTATGGATTTCAAAAGAAGGTCTGATCAAGATTTTGTTATAGACCTGCTTTTAAAAATAGTAATTCTATCTTACAGAATCTTCTTTCCTTTAGTTCTGCATATTCTTGCCCCTTGAAGACAGTAAGGGTTACCTAGATGCTGTGGCCCTTTTGTAATTGGGCTTTCTCTATAAACTGACCAAATGAACCTTAAAATGAGCCCACCAGTATGACTTCTGCTTCTGCTTTGTGGATCATAAACTCCTATTGATGAGATTAGTCCTCCTAAAGCAGAGGTTCTCACAGTTAGGTCCCAGATCAGCATCAGCAACACCTGGGAACTTGGTAGAAATTCATATTCTCAGTTCTTACCCCTGATCCTACTGAATCAGAAACTCTGGAGGTGGAGCCCAGCAATCTATATTTTAATAAACCTTCTCAGCCCTGGTTGTACTATTAGAATCATGCTTGGGAGTAAGGGGGCATCACTGGAGAGTTTAAAATATGTGAGCTTTGTCCAGTGGCAGTATCGTAGCCAATGAGGTTTATCTGAGGCATGAATATTGCTAATTGAAAGCTTTTCCCAGTATCCCACCATGAGGGCTTAAAATGTAGTCAGCATTTGTAATTTTTGACAGTCTTCACAGAGACTGAACTTTCTTGGTTTAAAAAAAAAATAAAATATGTGAATGCTTAGATCCGATCCCACTGTAGTTCAATTAGAATCAATTGCAAGATAGGCATTGATGTATTTAAAAGTTCTTCAGCTAATTTTAATGTGTGGCCTGGGTTGATTACCATGGCCCTTGAACCAAATCACAGTTCATCTGTGTGAAAGTAGCCAATTGACTCCTTGCCACATGTGAGTTAAAACTAGAACAGAGGTGCTTGACAACCAAGGCTTTTCAGAATTAAAAATCCCCTGCTAGGGGTACATTAGCACTGTGCAGCTGTGAAAATGAATGAGGCAGCTATGTATATATTATTACAGAGTAGTGTCCAAATTATAGAAAGTGAGAAAAACACGTTACAGAATGGTGTAGTAGAGATTACCTCTGGTGAACAAGACTAGAAGTGGGAAAAGAGACTTTTTACCCTTAGACTGTACATTTAAATATACATTTTGACTATACATTTAAATATTTAATTTCTTAATAAGCCTGTATTATTTTTATAAAACATTTTTTTCAATGAAATAATTAAACTAAGGTATGGAAGTAGTGCTGTGGGGTTTCCATTTGAGCAGCAAATGGAAAGGAATGGGCTATAAAAGGTGCATTTCTGAGTCCTTTGGAACAGAGCTGGTGACACTCCTCAGGGCATCAGTATCGCATTTGTCCTATTTCTGGCAGAGGTATGAAGGTGATTGAAAACCGGGCCTTAAAAGATGAAGAAAAGATGGAACTCCAGGAAATCCAACTCAAAGAAGCTAAACATATTGCAGA